CGACAGACTGCAAAAAATATTTCTGTATATAGCATAACTTGTGCTCTGAAATCAATTGTTGGGAATAAACCCACCACATAAATAATATTTGCGATAATAAAAGTAATAAAAGCAGAACACAATAATACGATTAATCAACAAGAATAAAAAGAGCAATAATGACACCAAGATTTTACGTGGCAACCCTCTCGAATAAGGGAAAACCAAGGCCCGAGAGGAGCCACAAATATCACTATAGTAAGGATTTTTACAGTTGTAGGTCTGAGTAAAATCTTCAAAGACCACTATAACACTTAAAAGAAATAACCCTCATTTTATTTTCTCATCTCACTACAATATTGCTCACACTCTCTATTTTTCCTCATAGACTATTTCCCTCTTTGATGCCTCATTCTTCTTTTCTCTCTGGTTTTGGTGTATTTCAGAATGAAGAATGACCCTCCCTTTTACAGAGGACAAAGTAGCCTTCAAATATGCTACAGAAGAAAAATTCACAGCTTACCAACATTTGACTTTAAGGAAAGCTGAAAAAATCAACCAAGAAAATTGGCACATGTATATCCAATTTCTTCCAAATCTTGCCAACCTTTGACATTGTAAGATTTGTCAAGTTTGGCACATAGGAGAAGAATCAAGAGAACAACAGAATAGTACTCACACGATTCATCAATAAAAAGTCACATTTTCTTTTATTTATTTTGCTTGCAGTTAATTTTCAGCGCTACGAAAATTGTGGCGAACAAGTAGCAGTCACAAAAGTTCGATTCCCATTGTAAAGGAATTTAATGTTGCTCTGATACCATGTAGAATTTGAATAAAGAAAAGATTGCATAATTAAACAAATAGAAAGAGACGAGCGATTGAAAATTTAGGATGATTCTTTATTCTTTCATTGTACTCCTATTTATACAAGTATATTGAAAATAAATTAAAGAAAAGAAAATAAATTTTGTATATGTGTCCCAGTATTATTACTTAAAACTATAACAAACTAACCACCTCTAGTGGACCCTAATCATTATCTTTCAGTTGTCCTTTATTCTAATCATACGATTGAGATTTGATGAAGAAATAATTGCATAAAGTACTAAGGTGAAATTTATGTGTTCAGTTTCAATAATTTGAATCTCCCTCGATGAACACATTTGATTCACTTTTCCTTTTCCATTATTACTTGAAGAATAATCAAAAGAGTTTGAATTAGACAAATTAAACATATATTCTCTACAGATACCTAAAGCAATTTTTGAACTTTTAGTAAGTAGACATGAGACAACATTAGTTTTGTAAAATGCATAAAGTTTAATTAGACTTTAGAAGATTTAATAATAAGAAAACAAGAACAATGAATGAAAATTAACAAAAACACATAGAGAAAAATGTGGATCCATGTTAGTTATTATTAGGATAATATAAAGGTAACAAAAAGGTAACCACATAAAAAAAAAAATAGGGATAACATTTGAGACCTCCTCTCAAATTTGGCCTCGAAACACTGATCTCCCTTATGGTTTGCAAAATTACATTTTCTTCCCTTTCTTTAATTTTCTTGAAACAAAACTTATAATCTCTTTATTATTGAAAAAATGAGAAAATTACATGGTTAAGCAAACATATACTAGTTAATTAGTCATCATAACTATAGTTTTAGTTAATTACCACTCGTGACCAACATTCGGTGATAATTACATGGGTTAGAATTTCAAGTTTGTATGATTCATATGTTTGTATAATTCAGAATTTGTATAACTTTTGTATAATGTAAATTTGTATAATATAATTTGTAGAATTGTTTAAAGTTAAGATATTTATGTTTGTATAAATTCATTATTTTGAGTTTATACAAAATAACTCAATTATACAAACGTATCCGCGAATTATACAAAATTACTCGTGAATTATACAAACCAACGAATTATACAAATCTGCGAATTATACAAATGAAGCAGCTTAAAATATAGCTACAACTCGTAAATATGCAAACTATAGCTATGAAGCATATTTAAATTTATTATAGTGACTATTTGCGGAAATTTCCCTTAAAAAATTACCCTTCTAATGTGTCCAAAAAAACCCTTCTAATGTATTTTTTAATTAATTAAATTCTATAAATAAGGATATTGAAATTCAAAGTTAATTCTTAATTGATTTAATCGGCCTCTCTTGAAAATAATCAAGAAAAAATTGATAGCATCTCTATCATTACTCACAAAAATAGTAATTACACCATCATTTATTCTAAATTTGCTATTGCTATGAATTCTCAATTATCACTTCTCATTAATTTGTTCCTAAAAAAAAATACAATGCCACCTAAACCCATAAAAAATTATGAGTTTTGTCATTGATTTTCTTATAAATAAAAAACATCCCCAAAATTTGGACACTCAATATTAATCTACCATGTAATTTGGTTTCTGATGTATAAATACTAATAAAACTCTTAGTGAGCATTCTCATTCCATCTTCCCTAAAATCTTTGTATCAAGTGTCAATGACAAAACGAAATATTTTATACTACAATTAATTTTTGTTTAGTATGGTGAAGAATTCGAGATGTTGTTCATAATTTTTATTGATTTAGGTTTTAACTTTGATATCTTGATTTATAAAGTCAATAAAGAAATATTTTTAAAAGGGTAAACTAGTCAGATTCTAACATTTTATATCATTAATAAATAGATTGAAAGTTTTGTTTTAAAAAAAAAATCAAAACAAGAGAAATAAATGTAATATCAGAAATCGTAAGGAAAGTCAATATTACGAGGACAAATTTAAGAAGTAGCCTATGAAATTTTCTCAAAAAAATAAAATAATTAAGGGGTCAAATAATTGTTGTGGCCCAGAGCTGGCCTTGACAAAGATGGCTACAAGACAAATTGACAAGCCAAACAATACACTAATTCAGAACCAGGTCAATAAAAGACAGATATTATTGTTAATTCTACTTAATTAATAAAATAAAAAATAAAGGAAGAATAAATCAAAAAGTTTATGTAAAATAAATCCAACAATAGAGTAGTTAAACTTGAGTTTTTGTTTCTATTTTATTATTCTCTCTGTTTAAAAAAATGACATGTTTGACTTGACTCGAAGTTTAAGAAAATAAAAATGATGTTTGAATTTTGTACTCTTAAAATTAAAGTTATGTCACATTTGATCTTGTGATTTTAAACTTGCTACGTAGAAAATTAAATTTAAAATGCTGCCAAAAAAGGGTCATTTTCTTTGAAACAGATCAAAAAGAAAAATAGATTATTCTATTTGAAACGGAGGGAGTATTAAATAAATAAGATTATTGGGAGGTTGTTATACTTTGCCACATATTCTAGAATTTTATGAGTTGCCTCTTATTTCATGTAAAATGCTTTTCCACTAGTCAATTTCTTATTTGTTCAGTGGCAATTTGATTATTATAGTGCAATATGACAGAAACTAGCAGGACAAGAAAAATGTGGATCAAAGTGCTTTTATTGACTAGTCTTTAGAAGAAATAATCTAGTATGATCAACACACTCCCTGTAATTTATTTTAAATGATTTGATAGTTATATATATATATATATATATATATAACTTAAATTCATAAAATTAAATATAAGACTATTGTATAATTGGAATCTTGAGATCACTTAATTATATGAATTTATTTAGTAAATTCACTTAACTTAATTTTATATTATAATATACATAACTTATTTTTTTGAGTTTTCACACGCAAGTCACTTCAAATCATAAAAAATTGACTTACTCAACAAAATAAATTGATTTTTATGAAATACAGGCATCTCACACTGAATAAGACTCCCACCATTTCAAAATAATTGTCGCATTTTACTTTTCGAGAGTCAATTTGATTATTTTTTAATTCTAAATTAGATTACCTTAAAATTAAAATTTTAAATATTATAATTACAATTTTTCTAAAATATGATTACATAAAATATGTTTTGAAATATTGCTGAAAGTTCATGTTCTTTGACTATTAGAAAAACAATAATGAAAAATATTTCGAAAGAAGGGAGTAAAATATACTTCCTCCCTCCGTTTAAAAAAGAATAATCTACGTTTTTTTTAGTCTATTTAAAAAAGAATGATCTCTATCCTTTTTTGAAATACTTCAATTTTAGCTTTCTAGGTGACATGTTTAAGTAGGGATGACAATAGAGCGGTGCGGGATAGGGGCGGTGTGGGTTGAGCTTAACCAGCAAAATTTTTGATCCGCCCCGCATAACAATTTATTTCATTTTGATCCGCCCCACCCCTCCCCGCATGAACCCGCACCACATAATATTTTTAATATATTCTTTTTCTAGTTAAGTTTGATACTAATAATATAATTCATTTTTTCATTAAGTTGTATTAATTTAATAGGATAGTGACTTAAAAAATTATTTTTTAGAGGTCAATTGGAAACATGTAAAAAATTATTTTATTTTTTATTGAACCATTTTCATTTACTATCTTGAATATTGTAGTAGTTTAAAGAAATTATCTTAATAAATAATGCTCTATGACTCTTATAAGATTAAAAAGTTAAAATTAAGTTTGAACCCACTTAAATTACATATACCCACAACCCGCCCCTCCCCACGTTAGTTTTCAAAAAACCCACTTCAACCCACCTCGCATCCCATCCGCACCGCACAACCTTACACCTGCCCCGCCCCACATAGTCTTAAACCCACCCCGCCTCGCATCCGCCCCGTCCTGCTCCATTTTCATTCCTACGTTTAAGACTATAGTATTAAATGACATTAAATGTATTTGACATAATTTAATTTAAAATTACAAAATTAAAGTATCAAGTCAAACTAAATCATTTTTTTTTAAACTAAAAGAGAGTACAAAAAGCCCCACACGAAAACCCAACTTTTGGATTTTCTCACTCAAGTCAAACAAACATTTACGTGTGCCAACCAATATGTTGGTTTGAAAAGAAATGCTAAAAAAAAGAGATATTTATTTATTTTTTTAAAGAAAGAAAACTTTACATCATATATACTCACCAACCCAACCAAACCCAACATACATCATATTAAACTCCAGACAACAAGTAATATAATTCTCTCTTCTCCAAATTCTCTTTCATCAAGTTCCAAATCTTGTATACACATGGAAGGTCTAATTCCATTAGTATGCAAGACATTCAAAAGGAACAAAACTATTCGCAAATACAAATCCCTCTCCTCAGAAACTAACAATATTAATAATATTGAAGATTTTTATCCAGAATATACTAATCGTAAAGATTATGATTATGGTGTAGAGAATTATCCAGAATACCGACGTACTCAGTCAGTTCGCGCACCGGAAAAGAGTGTTTATTATACTCAAAAGGATAAACAACTTGTGAGATTCACAAGTCATAGAATGTTCTCATGTGTAACGGGTGCATGAAGTAAAATAAAGATTCACAAGAAAAGTATTTCTCTTTTCTTCTCTCAAGTATATAAACTTAGCTTGTATTGTGTTTTTTTTTTGTTGTAATTGTTGTTGTTGCTTGAGTTTTATAATTTACTTATTTACTATCTTTGTTTTGATTGAGTCATTTGATTCTTGAAAAAATGTAGTAAATGTTAATTTCTTCACTTGCAAATTTGTTGTGTAACTTGTGCTATGTAAATACTTCCTCTCCCTCAGTCCATTTTTACTTGTTCACTACACTAAAAATAGTTGTTCAATAATACTTGTCCAATTTGAAAAATGTAGAGATAATTTACCTTTTTGTGTCTATTTTATCCTCGATATTAAATACTATTCATTATCTAATGCATTTTCAAAAGCATTAGATTTAATATATTTAAAGGGTAATATAGTAAATATCACCCTATTATTTATTATTTCTTAAAGTGTGTTAAGTTAATGGTAGACAACTATGGTTGGACAGAAAGAGTATTAGCAAAAGTAGTAAGTCAAATGTGACACAAATGCAAGTTTAAATTATTACAAAATGGTTGTTTTATTAAGCCGGTGAACAATTTTGTTTTAATTAGAAAGATGCTGCGAGATGAATTCAAAACTTAAAGTTTCTTAATATACTAATTTTAAATTAATATTATAATAATAATCAAATTTACAGTCAAATATCTCAGTTAGATTTCCGCAAACCCATAAACCAGGCTCTAGCCTCAGATCAATCATACTTTTATGATTTTCAAACATACTTATGGAATTATTAGATTTTCCAAAGAATTTAAAATAAAAATCGCGATGACAACATTGAATAGATCAACTCCAATAGTACTTGGAGTAGGTGAAGTGGGTAGGGGTGGGTTCCATTGGACTAGTTTGTGGACGAAATAATAGTTGTTTGTCTTTTTTCTATTATATCCTTTCGAGTTTAAATCGTGAAAATGAATTTAGGAATCACTTTAATAAGAAATAGGGTAAATGTTCAAAAGCAAGTAAAAAGCAGAAAAAAATAAGTGCAAAACTATTAAATTACCTCTTTTGAGTCTGATGCTACAAGTCATATGAGCCACTAATAAAGACTACAGAGTCAATATACAAGTCTTACCAAAAATAAATGTTGTTTGGACTATAGAGTAGTAACAAAAAATAGAGGAAAAAGTCTTTGTGAACTAGTTCAAACAGCTCATTTTGTACAATGCATATGAAATCGACGAGTATAACATTATATCTAGTATGTAAGGACGTTCAAATAATCATGTATCAAGTAAAACATGAAAAAATAGATATGGTATATCGTAATACCCCAACATATGGCACACAATATACATATATACATTCTCAATATACGTAGTATATCATAAATAAGTCCATTCGGGGAAAAAATCTTTCATTGACGTTAAAATCTTAACCTACCTCTGTTCGAAGAAACCCTAGCCTCACATTTTTAGCTCCAATGCAAGTTTAGATAGTTAGAAAATTAGGTGCAATTGGAATTCCATTGTAGCACTAGGAGTAAACTACCAGCAAAATATTGTTTACTAAATCTTTATTAGGTTTTGATAGTTGCATTTTGAAAATACCTAGTGGTCACAAATTGGCATTATCAGAAATGGATACCTAATCAAATCCAACTAAACCATTGACATGAAATAATTTAGATTATATCTTACCACACTTATCTAAATTGACTTTGTTTGAGAAAGAAAGGATTGTGGTAGAAGGTATATGATTACTTAACTTTAATCAAATATATCGAATTCGAGTTTAGGATATAATTTTTTTATTACAAATTTTTTTATTTCTTAAACGAGTCTTATGAAATTTCTAGGATTAGAATAAAATTACTTAAAAGAGCTTATCAGCTCAAATTCCATGAAACTTTTCAGACAAATATAAAAAAAGTCATATGCTCAGAGGAAATGACTTTTCTAGATTATTTACAATGTATTGCTTAATATTAAGTAAATCAATATAAAATGTTAGTTTTTGATACTTATAATTACTAGTACAAATATATTTATAATTTTATCCTTCTTTACTCGATGTAATCAAATTCTTAGTCATATTTTAAAGGGTAAAGGGTCTGATATACCCTTCAACTTTGTCATTTAGAGCTGATATACCCCTCGTTATAAAAGTGGCACATATATACCCCTACTGTTATACAAATGACTCATATATACCCTTTTCCTCTAACGGAAGTGAAAAAATTAATTTTAGTTTAATTTTTAATTATTTAAAAAAATATAATCCCATATGGGTATATTTAATCCTCCTCAAACATATATTATTTTTTAAAAACTTTTTTTGTTTCAATGACTAATTTAGATTTATTATTTTTGATGGTCAAATTTATTTAAGCTTTGCTAATATTCGTTGTAAAATTTATTATAGATGACCCCAATTTTTTTTCTTTCAAATACAAAAACTAAATTACAATATATCCGAAAAAATAGTTTTAAATTTTTTTCTTTACACTAAGGAATGAAAGAAAAAATAAAATAAGAATAAGAAACTCAAATAATGATAATCAAAATGAGGGACATATCAGCTCCAAATGGCAAAATTGAGGGGTATATCAGGCCATTTTCCCTATTTAAATCTAAAACTACTTTATGAGTGATGTGCAATGTAAATATAATTTTATAATGGATTTAAGAATTCAAAAATTAATGGAATTTAACTTACACGAGCCTTTTGAATTTATTGCTAATATATATTTTTTTCTCTCTTTTTTCCCTTTGGAAGCTCTATAGTATATTCATTATTAATCAATCACATTCAAGCTAAGTTCGAGTTCCGATTTAAACTGTAGTAGTAATTTATAAAATTGAGTGACATTTAAAGTTCAATTATTATTATAAATATATTTATTGTGTTATAGTAAGTATTTATTATATTTCCTTGGAGAAAACTTAGAAATCTAAGCTAGGGGCTAAGTCCGTTTTTTGCTACAAATGAAGAGGTTTTCTTCATTATAAGTTAGTTATTCAAAAGAAATAAAATGACTTCGTCTCTCTTTTTTCTACTTTATTCTTCTTCTTATTTTCTAGTTTCAGAACACGTTATAACATCAGTTATGGCAAAAGATATAAGGTAACCATACAAATAAGTAATTAGTGGTATTTCCATATGTTGTAATAACTTTTCTTTGGTGGTTGCTTTCCTTTTTGGTAAGAATTTAAACTTTCAATATTTTATTTTCATAAATTTTTTATTAACTTCAAAGTGAAAAGATCGAGCGGCACGATCCAAAAACGGACGTGATGACACTTGTCTTATCCCACCAAGACAAGCCAGCTTAAAACCCAAATTAAGAGATAAATGGGAAAGTAAATCAGAATAAAAAATTAACATAATCTCAACAACACACGTGGATAACATAACATAACTCAATTATAACTCCAAAACCTGGTTGTCACTTGTACAAGCCTCTAAGTATTACATTAGATTCAAAGAAATACAAGTCTGAATGTCTTTGTTTCTATAATAGAACAAGAACATAATAAAAGAGTAGGAGGTGTCCGCCGAAATGACAATCAGCTAGCTCATAAACTCTCCAACTGTAGCCTTAGACATAGAAGAGAAAAAAGAGTAATCAAGATGATTCAGATTCGTAACCTACACAAATGTAGAAGAAAGGGAGTAAGTACCAAATAACACAGTTCTTAGCAAGCAAACAACTAACTCTAAGTAAAGCAATATTGAACACAAGTACTCATCCACTCCAATAGAACCTCCTCAACTACAACCTGCAAGAAACAATCAGCCCAATCTAACAATTTTCACTCCATACCACAAAGCTCATTACGGACATAAAAAATTACACCTGAACATGAATAATAAAAATATCCACTGTATCTTATAATTCAATAGCCACAATAACATATCAACAATCGCAACTGACGAATCAAATGAAGTGCAATGTTATATAGAGTGATTCATGTTTGTCCTAATGATAAACACCTGCTGTCTCTCAGTCTTGAACCCATGAGGAACTCTTCAGTCCATGCTTCTGTCACGGGGCATATGGGTCGATTCTTATTTTATTTCAATGAATTCGCCATGGATGTTGGAATACCCCGTATCTTAGAAAGACCAAATTGTAGATTTCAGAAGCTACAGGTGCCATCGACGGGCATCACCTACGGACCGTAGGGTGAACCACTGTCCTGCTGGTGGTCCGTGGATGGTCACCTGTAGCCTCCCCAATTCAGTCCAAAATTTATCTAAGTGTCGACCCACGGCCGGACCTACGGACCATAGGCCAGGACACGGACCGTGGTCCTGGTCTGTGGATCGATACCCCCAAATTTCAGTCCCAGTCGCCGAACGACGATCGACAACCATAGATCGTCGGTCAATCCACGGTCCGTCGGTGACCCTGACAACAGTTAAGTCAGGGGTCGTTTGGTCTTTTCCCTATGCGTTGGACCCCTAAACTACGTCGTTTAACCCCTAAACTACGTAGTTTTGGTCAGTTTTAGCCTAGAAACATAAGTGGAACTTACCTAAGTCAGATCATTCACCAAAATTCATAAAACTTAGAACGCAAAGAGGAGAAAGAGGCGACCAAACCCTTCCCAAGAACACAACGAGTTTTCATCAGTTCCACCCCGAAATAGAAAGTTTTCTCCGTAGAATTCATCACCAGGTATGTGGGATTTCACTAGTAGGTTCCTTTCTCCCATTAGGTCCCTAGAATTCAGTCAGATTCTTGATTCCCTTATTATTAACTAGACCCAGGGTTTCTATAATTTCAGTAGATTATCATGAATTAGTTACTTTACTATTCCTAATAAGTATATCATGATCTTTAGCATGTTTTAGTATAAACTCCTTCATAATTTCAGAACCCTAGGTATGTAGTTCTTTTAGTTCATGAATTACACATGCTAGGTCGGATCAAGCAGTTATACATGCTACAGTTATAAATGTTTCATTATCAGTACATTAATGTTGCATTTTCAGTTAGTATGTCAGTATTTGAGCTATCCAGAATTTTCAGCATTTCAGTTATAAATTATAC